GAGATGATAATGATATGATAGTTAGGGTTTAATAATACAATACTTGATGATGCAATAATGTTCTATGAATATAAAAGCATTTTAACATTACTAAGTATCATAAATATGTTTTATGAAATCATATATGCAAGTAAATTATAGTCATTATTTACATTTTATGATTTAATCAATTTTTTGGGATTTTTGTAAATTAAATAGAGGACAACACAAGCTACAACTACTAGTAGATCATCTAATTTTTCAATACGTCAAAAGGTTGAGCTTGATTATGATGACTCAATTGTACATTGCTATTATGGATTTAAAGCGCCACAATGGATTTCATGGAGTTCGAAAACTCATGGAAGAAATTTCTATAATTGCCCAAACTACACGATATTCTTTCTTATTTGGCGAAACTAATTTATTGATTTTTATTTTTATATTATATTATAGTGGACATTATTAAAAAATTTTATATTTTAATGCACTAGTGTGACTATAACTTTTTTTGTTGGCATGATAAAGAGATAACCTTAAAGTATTACTGGCTTTACTGACATCTTTGAAGAAAGATGTTGAACTTCATGAAGAAGTCAATAGGCATATTCATTTTATTGATGGTGAAATGGCTAATTTCTACCTGAATATTAAAGATATTCAAGAAAGATTAGTTAAAGTGAAGAATAATAATAAGGTGAACAAACAGATGCAAAATGGTGTCTTGGTGTAAGGACTTTGGGGGGTATATAGAATCGACATTTGACATTAACATCTTATATTAGGTCGAATATAATGGTTATTGTAGTATTGGTTGTTCTAAACTGTGTTGTATCTTGAAGTTAAAATTGTGTTAGGTTGTGAAATTATATAACAACTGAATGTCTTAAATAGTATAGAAAATTAAATATTATATAACGGTTTAAGCCTTATGATATTTTGTTTTTAGTATAATTTGAATTGTACGATATATGGCTTTGGAATTACTCAAGCGTTATGGTAATGACTCAAGCCTTATGGCACAATTTGAATCACATGTTTGTGGCAAAATATGCGCATACCTAGCTTTATAGTGATGCACACTAAGATTGGAATGTTTTCATCATCTTGTGATAGATTTCAATGCTTTTATACTTGTGTATTGTCAATGTTTATACTCTCTTATTCACATTGTGAATTTTCCAATAATATTATTACTCATTTCTACCCATACAACCTTGAAAATATTGTTTGACAATCTTTGTAAGATGTTCTTCTTGGTTAAAAGATTTAAGCAGCAAGTATGGAATCCTACCCAGAAACCATCATTTACGAATTGTGGCATTTTTTGATTGAAAAATCAAAATATATTACATCATATGTAAATATAGTGTATAATATTTAAATGATTCTATCTTAAACTCAGTTGAACTTCTTATTATGATACAAAAAACAAAAAAAAAGGTTATATAATATTTTACTTATATAACAGAGTTTCAGCCACTAGCATTTTTTAAAATAAGTAAAAGTACAAAAATAAATAGTATCAACTTCTAATCACTAGATTTTTCATGGACAATTTGAAAGATTGTAACGTGTTCACAACACGTAGTAGAAAATATAAAATAATTATATTTAATTTATTTATGCTTTAAAATTATATTACAGGTTAAAGAACCAACAGTGAGTTCTTAAATTAAAATTCTTAAAAAAGACGAAGATCCTATGCATATTCACACCGAAATCAATATTTATTAATCAATTCTTTGATCAATGAAACATATTAATAAATTAAATAATATTTGTATTAAAACTTTTTCACAAAATTTTAACAGAATTAAAAGAAAATTTTCCTCAAATTTCTTTCTTATTTTGGTGTGCGTGCAGCTACAAGATTTTCTTTTTTTCTTCTTAAGTTTGCAATCTCTCTTATATATATATACATATATCCCATATACATATATATAGGTGGCATTGGTAGTTGTCAAGTCCTTTTGGATTTCTTCCTCTACAAGTCCAAATTAATTTGAACTTGCCTTCTTTTTTTTTTTCAGCACCCAATTATATATATATCTCATAAATAATTGTCAAGTCCAACTTCTTCCGTCCAAACCAATTTGAACTCTTTTTTTTTTCTTTTCAGCACTAAATTATATATATATATATCTCATATATATATATATGTTGCCTTTTATTATTATTAATATTGTTATGTAATAAAATAATTTTATAAATCAATCAAATTCCAAATTGAATTTTACAATGATCTTTATTATTATAGTAGCGACATATATTATATTATTATGTTAATAATATAATAATCAATAAATATAAATATTAATTTTCTATTTCTAAAATAAAAAATTTTAATTTGTCTCTAATATTAATTATGTTACGTCCTGATGCTCGATATGAAGTGTAATTCCTGCTCATGTCATTTTCATACAGTGGGTTCACAAAATATATACATGCATAGATCAAAAAATATAATACAACCTATATATTATGTTATATATACAAAACATGATATCAAAATTTAGAGTCTAACAAAATAAAATAAAACTTCTCTAATATGCACAAAATATACAAAAATAAGAACTTTTTTACATATTCTACTCGTTTGGCAGCGGTGCTGACTTGTCATTCTCATATAAAAAATATCGAGTGAAATTTAATGAATTTCATCAACTCAATAAATATTTTCATTATCTCAACGCACA